AGGGCTCCAGCAGATGCAGGATGTGATCATGATGCCGAGCAGCTGCACCACCATCTCAATGTCGTGAGAGTTTGCTGAAGGATGTGTTCTAGGTCTCCTCCTCAGTCGTGCCAAAACCAACGTCAGTCCACTTACAGTATTACACACCAGCGCCACAGCCAGTGAGGTGAGCCCTAATCCCGAGAAGAGCACCACAAAGGCTACATCCACCTCTCCAATGTCATTTAGAACCTTTATAAAGCACCACGTCCCAGGGTCCTGATAGGTGTAAGAGCCTAACTGAAAACAGGGCAGCAAGGCTACAGACAAAGCAGCCAGCCAAATTATACACAGACTGACTTTGGTTCGAGTAGTTGTGACCAAAGATGAGTGCAAAAGAGGTTTGGTCACACCTAGGCAACGCTCTGCCGCCATCGCACACCCAAGGAACAAAGGGCATAGGCCAAAAAACACCATACTGCCCCCTAAGAACTGACACATGCCATCTGTGGTGCTGTAATTTTCTGGACGCACCCCTCCAGAAAGATATAGTCTAAGAACAAGTGTTCCAGGAACCAAATGTCCAATAAAATCAGTCACAACAAGTGAAGTGGCAAACAACAAGAAGGTGGCTTTGGATCTTCTTCGCTGTAGTGTACGCATTGGCCAAAATAAACAAAGCCACAATATTGGAGACTATACCAAGAGTCATAGACAGCACAACAATGATGACTCCGCTGGTCGTGGGGCGCACAAAAGTGAAGTTTCCCTGTTGGGAAAGGACATCCAGAGCCAGCCTGGCCTCCACGCTCCATTCACTGTCATTGCAGAGACGTGGACGGAGCTGGGAGCTGGTGGAGTTGTAGTGGCTCAAGGCTAACATCACTTCATGACTTGCATTGTTAGATTCTGTAAAAGGAAGTCTGTAAGAAAAGGAATAAAGAGTTAAAGCTAGTTCAGATTTGGTGGTAACATGGACAGGGGCTAGATTAAGTTTGAAATAGTGTTAATAGTAGGCCTGTTTTGTATTATAATTAGAGGAGGGCAATATGACAAAAAAAAGCTACATCTGTTTTTTGTTTTTTTTAACAATGACAATATTTTGTCAATTCAACAGTAATGAGCTAAATTGTAACTTTAGAGGTATTCTTTGAGGTAATATCAGAAAAAATAAGGAACTTTAATATTACTAATAAAAGTGCAGAACTTTTTACCATTATTGAAATAAGAATAATTAGTTAAATCTGATCTTTTTTTTCTCTGTGAAAAATGTTGTACCTGAAAGCACTGAAGTCTGAATAAGTAAAAATAGGATATTAAAACATAAGGTCAAAAATATTCTTTTAGTTAATCCTCCACAGACTTTTAAAACTGTTCAGCAAAGAGCAATCCCAGAGCTCTGGAACATGATTTGAAAGTTTTGTTGGGAATAATTAAGGTGAATGCCAAAGCTCGACCTGTGGGATGCTGTATGCTTAGAGTAGATGAGGGTTTTATTCTGTGTTGGGATAAAAGTAGGTTTAACAGTTGTACACATTCAGAATATTATTTATGGTTTGATATAATACATTGTCCACAGTCAGCAGACTTCCTTTCTTTTTCTATCCAGTATGATAACCCCACCATTCTGTAAAGACTGCAACAACTACTTTCAGTGTATATTTCACTTTAGATGGTTCATGATGAAACTCAAAGGCAGGCCAGTTTCGTTTTTGAATGACAGCCATATGTTACACCTGCATACTATAATGATTTTATATCCTCTGTAAAAGTAAATTAAATGTAGCAACTTTGTGGAATTTCACAATGCCTTCCTCAGACTGGATACAAATGTCAAATTTCTAATTAGCAAACAAATGAAATGTAATACTGTCATAATAGTAGGCCAAGGTCTATTATTGATTTGTAATAGACCTATATCTTTGGAATAATTTATAATAACAAAAATAATAAAACCTAAAGTGTAAGTAGTTGTGACTTCATTGTTGAAGTAGCCATTATGTCTATACTTGACTAAACTTTACGTATTAAATAATTCAGCTTCTTCTAAGGTTATCAATGGCCCCTCCTTATACTTCTGCAGAGATAGAGTCAGTTGCCGTAAAGGAAAAATCTATAGGCTACCATAGAGAAAGTGGCAACCAGCACCCCCAATGGAGACATTACAACATTTAACCTGTCACTGGAATTGTTGTGGCATTGTTCTACAGTGCTTCACGCCAATTCAGTCTTATGTTGACAGCTGTTTACTGGAGCCTCAGCGTCACATTTGTATAGAGCCTTTAAACCTGTCATTCTCCTCAGAAATACGGCTCACGTGAAAACATCCAATTACTAAGACAACAGCAGGAACAAGGGACGGGCATGTGTAGTTTATGCTCAATGTCAAATAAGTGTCATAAAAACAAATGACCACCAACAATGTTTTTTCTTCCATTTTTAGGCTGTAATAAATTAATTATGTCCTACACAAAGTTGATAATTATGTAGGTATGTAGGCTGCATTGATGATTTTTTTTTTTTTTTTGTGTGATTGTTTTTATGTTTCTTTTGGTCACAGAACTGCAAGTGAGTGACCAATCACAGAGAGATGAGAATATATATATATATATATATATATATATATATATATATATATATATATATATATATATATATATATATATATATATATATATATATATATATACACTATAGGCTAGGCTATTTTAAGGACTATGTTTGGAGAAAAACCTAAACAAAACAAAAAACTAGGCGCTGTTGAATTTAGCTAACTTGCCATGAGAATGGTGTTGTTTAATTAGTAGTCTGTCATATCGCAAACGAGCAGATATCAGGTTAAATCATTTGGATATGATTGCCCCAAAATAATAAGTCTACAAGCGTAAATCTTACTCAAAAACAAACCTACTCACCCCGTATGAAATAGGCCTATAGCAGCCTGCTCCTCTTCTTTTGCTTGTCAAAAGTTTGTCAAACCGTATCAGTGAATCTCAAACCGGCCCGAGTCTTTTGTTCCCTCTGTGGGTCGGTGAGACGCGCAGGGCTCCGTGTGCGCTCCATGTCTGCCTCGCTCCTGCTTCCACAGAGACTGAAGGGTGGAATCGACCCGAGCCAACTCCAAATGCACACGCACGTCTTTATAGAGCCTGATTTCACTTTCAGTGCGCGGGGTGTCTGTCGATCATGTCCATGCCTTGTAACTGTAAGTAGGAGACATTTTTGCTACTTTTACGCCTTGCTCGTAGTGTATGTCCAATGTCACGTGATTTGCTCTGTACTCAATTATAATTGGGAGTTGGAGATTCGTAGTAAAATTTGCAGTAGCATTGGTGTTTATTTCAACATATTAAGTCAGAAAGGATCACTCACAACAAGCATGAGCAGCCTGCCTTTGTGGCTGTTCTAATGAGAGTTCTTGGATGAGATTTGCATGATCACGTAACCGTGCATGTTACAGCTTTTCGGTTTGGCCTTTAGTGTTGAGTTTAAACACATTCGTACTCGTATGTAAAATATGTGCAATCTGCAATAGGTGTGCAGCAATTGACCTGAAGTTATTTATAAATTATGTTAGCTATTTTAGGCAATAAATAGAAAGTGATATTCTGCCGGATGCTGCGGATATCCTGCTGACCCTATGATAGAATTACGCATTATTGACATGTGAGGAGAAACTGCAGAACTGCACTATTGGATCACTATATAGAATAATGAAGTGAATAACGAAGACTTTCCCACAACACCAGTAGTTTTTACGTAGGTCCAAATGAAACTTTATCTAGGCTATTTCGGGAGCTGGTTTGCTTATCCTCGTTAAATAGACATAGCCCAAGTTTCCTAAAGCTGTAGATGGACAAAGCAGGTGCTAAAAAAGCAGCATGTGGTAAACAGGTGCAGAGACATGGAGGTCTGAGCAGGAGCCACGTGGAAGCTATCTGAACAGAGCAAATCACTCCCTATTGTGTGAACTAATAGCAGCTATATCTGTACACTGTAAACTACTGGGTGGAGGCTGTAAGGCAACAGGCATCTATTATCTGTAATATCTTCACAGTAACTTTGGTGCCCCAAATTAATTTAATCAAGTTTAGCTTTCTTTAATAGGTGTAATTTTGAGCACTTTTCACCATTTAAAAATAATATTTTGCTTTGAATTCGTTATTGTTAAATACTAATTTTCCATGGACCAATTTTGTTGCATTTGCAGAAAACCCTTCTCTAAACAGAGGTTTTCCTGCAAATCACTCACTTGTTTGTTTTTCAGATAAACAATTATCCATAAAATATTCTTTATCAATTAAAACATTGCATATGTAGACAGGTAGTTTAATGTATGTTTGTGTTAGTAGACATTTCACCCCAAATTTTGACAGTGAGCTTGTCTGTTCCTCTCAGCTGAATATCAAGCATTCTTCAAATTTCTGTTTTGGCCACACTTTATTGAAACACTTAGTGTGTGAGCAGCTCCAATCATAAAGGGCAATAAGTCCTAAAACCTGTGTCTCAGGAATGTAGGGAAGAGACCTCCAAAATAATTTCATTTCTGGTGCAATTGTTGACTGTGGAAATTAGTATTTCAAGGAAATTAGGGTATAATTACACAACATGATGACCTGTCAAATTTAAGTTTTTGAAATCGTAAAAATGTGATATATTCTAGACAAGAGACATGTGCACTGCAGAACATTGACTGATTTTGCATGGGCCACTATGAAACTGCTAAACAGTTGTAATGGAAGAAGCTTAAAGCCAAAATCCACTATTTTTAAGACTTACAACACAAAAACAAGCAGCTTTTTTAAGAATTTCAGTTTGACAAGTAAAAATGTCAGGGTCAGACATGAAGAATGTTGTGTTTGATTCTGTGGTCGGTGGAAGAGGGTGAAGGAGGAACCTCAACCTCATAAAGTGTAGACTTAGTATTGGAAGAGTAAGTGAAGTTTCCCCATTTCCAGGAGCAAGTGATGAGGATAATAGAGCTGTGGGGGTCTCCTTCCACTGCAGGAAATATGGATTCAGCGCCAGACTTTTTGATTGTTGGACTAAAAAGGTTCAAGGAGAGGAAGCCCATCAGACAGTGACTGGTTGCTAAGTCCAAGACCAATACTTGTCACAATTTAGGGTCGGGATTATAAAATGTACAATGCATTTTATTGAAATTATGATAACGGATGATGGATGTTATTGCTCTATAGTTACAGTGAGTTGTCATTGGGTGGCCTTGTCTGTCTCTCATCTAGATTAGTTTTTTCAATTGAGGTTTTGCTGAATCTGAATAAACCACATGATTAGAAACAGTTATAGGTGACTATTAAGTGGCCAAAATGTCTAATCAGTTACAGCTCTTACAAGGTTTGGCTTTCATTTGCTCCAGGCATATAAAAATATGTATATATTTTTAAAAATATAATCGAAGTTAAAAGCAGTTCAGAGCTAAATAGGATTCATGTTTTAATTCTGCCCCCATCAGTTCATACTGTCTCAGTATAACGGTGTGGATTTCGATTTCAACAGTAGACAAAAGTTTATGTGGTATCCATAACTATTATTATAACTTTACTCGGCTGTATTACCAGAGTAAAATATATATCAAGGTTAAAATTAGATATATCTTTATAAATTAAGCAGTAGTATACAATGTTGTTTTTTCCTCGATGTAAAATGAAAGTATTTGGGATGATCATAACTCTGTAGGCTGCTTCTGGGAATTGACTCTTAACATGTTGAGTTGTGCCAAAAAACCCATACTGCAGTAATCTTTGGGACCATTTAGCCCATTACGGTCTCAGTCTATGGCCAACTGGGAGAGCCTCCCCCTCCACTGCGTCTCTCATGTGTTTTCAAACCAATTTTAATGTCAGTGCCCTACTCCACTCTGAACTTACCGCCAACCTGAGTTACTCCAGTGTCCAAACTGCATAATATGAGGCCCTTCAGTGCCTGCTACTTCATGTAAAATGAAAACAAACATGCCCACTGTTTTTACCCAACTGTATCACTGTCAATCAAAGAAAGAAATTGACACATTTTTCAAGATGCAGCTGTAAAAACCATCAGCATTAGAGTTTGTAGAGCACATCTGGATCGTTGGTGAAGGTGCATGCTTTCTGGGTTTCTCATAAAGGGTCTGAGAATATATGCTAGGGGTTAAAGGGGTCAACAATTGTAATAATAAATAAGAAATGATAAACAATATCATTTGAATTAACAGCTCAAAGTTTAGGACAAGTAGATTGCAACTAATATGTTGCAATCTAAGCACCTCTGATCACCCCCAATCACTCAACAGTATCTTGCTTAAGGACACAACGACAGGATGCACATGCACTATGGTCCCCCACTGTGGTCTCCCATCCTAGTCTTAGATCCTAACCAGATCCAACTATACTTAGCTTCTGAGATGAGCCATTCTCAAGATAGTATGGCTGCCTTGAGAATGAGAATGCCCTGATGTACTGTAGAGCAGATTTAAAACTGAGATCAAATCTGCACACCTCACTTAATGCATTTTACTGTTAACCAGCAGTCTGTCTATTGGTTTTGACCTGGTATTTAACAAGATGGAGTAAGCAAGATCATATTTAGATCACATTTTAACTTGATAAGAAAGCTTTAAGAATCAGTGCTTTGTACAGTACCCCATTAGGTAAGTAACCTAGCAGTTTTAGATGCTAGTATTGCTATTTCCCAAACATTTGTGCATAACTGCCCAATCCACATCATAAATCCTTAAAAAGAATACAGTTACCAGAGTTAAATGAACCACATCAGATGGAATTCTTCCTATGTGGCCCAACATAGACACTTTCAGATAATCTGTGGATGAATCCTAAGGATACTTTTCCGTTTATACTGGCATTTTGTACAGTGAAGATGAGAGCACTGTTTGTTCAGATGGAAAACTGCGAAGGGTCATTTATTTATGTTTTATAGCTATTTCCAGGAAGTCCACAATTTCAACACTTTGCACCCACCTCAGCGAAAGGAACGATTGATGTATTTAAACGGAGCACTACATCAGACTGCAGGACATGGGGTGCCGGTCACCACTCTTGAGTTTTGCCAAGTTTGCAAGAATAAAAGTGATGGATGAGAGGTTGTGTTGGTGTGAGTTAAAGTGAAGATGTGGTAATTAAAACGTAAGGTCTGCACTGCCAGCACTGGCAAAAGGAGACAATGACAAACATACTAATCTGTAGTGGATAAACTGGAAGTACATCTTTTGTAATTGGGCTGTCTACAACTGCGCAGGACATTTCAACTTGAGCTTCAGTAAATACAAAAGGAGCACGCTTTTTTCAACAGAGGTTTCAAGTCTCACCGTTGACATGAGATAAAATGTGTGTCTACACTCATACATAATTAAAATGATTATGAAACAGTTGCATTATCATATATGAAACAATCACAGATATCAGTATGCTGTGAGCTGTGGTAGTTACTTGCTTTTTACATTTAAATACATTGCCTCAAATAAAGCCCAGATGTTCATTCTATAGGCTAAGCACTTCAAGCAAGTTATTCAGAGTAGGAGCAGATGTGTGGATGTACTTTCCCCTCAATGATAACCCCCTATGACAGCATGGATGTATATCACATTAAAGTTACTCAAAGGGTTATACAGGTTGTACATTTACTCTGGGGTGGTAAGTTTGTAGTCACAGCTGCCCTGAGGCTCACTAAAAAAAACATAGCATTGCTGGAAGGTCTGCCACTTGTCTGCATGCTGATGTTATTGCTTTACCTGGAATGTTCCACAGTATGGCAATGTCCATCTCCATGGAGACAAGCAAGTGGCAAGCTAGTCCATGTCACAGGTCATATCTGTGGAGAGGCAGACTCTGCTCACAGCAAGAATGTGTTTATTATTTTGAGAAATAAAAACACCTGTAATTTATTTTCTTTAGTAGGCTATGTTTTAATGGCTATGACAGGGCATTTGAACTGTTGATCTGTATAGATTGAATGTATCTGTGTATAGTTTTG